TCACGATTACATGTCCTTAACTTTTGAACTTAACTTCAGGATTACATGTCCTTAACTTTTGAACTTGTAACTGTAATTTCAGGACCAAATGTCCTTAACTTTTAAGCTTGTTAGTCTAAGTTCAAGACATATTGTCCTTAACTTTTGGGCTTCTTAGCCTAAGTTCATGGCCTATTGTCCTTAACTTTTGAAATTGTTAGTCTAAGTTCAGGACTTCAGGACCTATTGTCCTTAACTTTTGAACTTGTTGTAGACATCGAAATTTAAATGGATCAAGCCAAATTATAAATTAAAGATACTACAGGACTCTTGAAATCCTAGGAGTCGATTAGGGTTTCTTGGAAGTTACTCTACCTTAACCCTAAATCAAAGCTATAAAAAGGGTCACATATTCCCTTTGAATAGGCATCTCAAAAATGGAGATCATCTCGAAAATCCCATAAACTCACGGGATATTCACAAAGAGATCAAGAAGTGGCCGGATAATTCTTGATAATCAAATACTTCAAGCAGATCCACAACATACTTCATGGGTATCAAATAAATCCATGAAAGCCCGCACCATCCTACGTTCGAGAANNNNTCACGGAGATAATCAGGAGAGAAGAATCAAGGGGATAAACAGAATTGTACCCGCGTCTTTTTATGAATAAAATTATGTTTCTTCATATTTATATTTTGGTTGCAATTTATTTTTGTATCACATATAATTTGTTGCAAACAAATTGGCACGCCCAGTGGGACCAGTCCTTCCCTTCATCTCTTCCTCCTGCAAATCGAAACCACAAGCTTCAAAATTTGCTATTGTGATGATCGGGTACTTCAAGACTCGTCTTCAAGTTTCGCCAAGGCTACACCCCGACAAACCTCGAAGTAGGGGGCATTTGTAGACATCGAAATCTTAATAGATCGAGTTAAATCCTAAATTCAAGATACTACAAGACCTTTTGAAATTCTAAAAGTCTGTCAGTATTTCTTAGAGGCTACTCTACCAAAACCCTAGGTCACTCTTATAAAAAGGGTTACATAATCCTTTAAAAAATATCTCAAAAATGGAGATCGTCTCAAAAATCCCATAAACTCATAGGATACTCACAAAGAGACCAAAAATATGGCCGGATACTTCTTGACAATGAAATAGTTCAAGAAGCCGGAGATCAAATACATCCAGGAGGTCTGCATCATCCTTACATTCGAGAAATTGGCTGCTTCAGCCCTCGAATCACGGAGATAATCAGGAGAGAAGAATCAAGGGGATAAACAGAATTGTACCCGCGTCTTTTTATGAATAAAATTATGTTTCTTCATATTTATATTGTGGTTGCAATTTATTTTTGTATCACATATAATTTGTTGCAAATAAATTGGCACGCCAATGGGACCAGTTCTGCCCTTCATCTCTTCCTCCTGCAAACCGAAAATTATATGTTTCAAAGTCAACTACTATGGTCGCCTTCCGAAAGAGCAATGATGTTCCAAGCAAGTCAAGTACTGTCTCGTGAGAATTACCACGTAAAATTGGTAGTTAGAAACCTCACTTTGTTGGAGTCAAAATTCAAGTGCAATTATCATTGGCTCTAATGTGTGCTTGGCCACGTCAATTTTTCAAATTATAAAATTGAGCAGTTCTATTGCATGGAATAAAACGAATGGAAGTAGCAATGTCCATGTACAACAAGGAATTTTGCAAAGTCCATGCACAACAAAGTATTAAGTTCCTACAATTTAGTGCTACGTGGAAAGAAATTATTTGTATCATGGAGTTATTACTGAAATACAATTTTGGAGAAAGGCAGGTTCTTCATTGAACACAAAGACAACAGAAGTCCACGTGAACAAGAAGTGACGCAATGCAGAAAGTCTACCACCTCTGGTACTTCAAGTCTTGTCTCTCCTTTCGGCAAGTCCATGCCGACAAGCCTTGAAGTAGGGGGCATTTGTAGACATCGAAATTTAAATGGATCAAGCCAAATCCTAAACTAAAGATACTACAGGACTTTTGAAATCCTAGGAGTCTATTAGGGTTTCTTGGAAGTTACTCTACCCTAACCCTAAATCAAAGCTATAAAAAGGGTCACATATTCCCTTTGAATAGGCATCTCAAAAATGGAGATCATCTCAAAAATCCCATAAACTCACGGGATATTCACAAAGAGATCAAGAAGTGGCCGGATAATTGATAATCAAATACTTCAAGAAGATCCACAACATACTTCATGGGTATCAAATAAATCCATGAAAGCCCGCACCATTCTACGTTCGAGAAACACGCTGTTCTAGCCCTCGAATCACGGAGATAATAAGGAGAGAAGAATCAAGGGGATAAACAGAATTGTACCCGCGTCTTTTTATGAATAAAATTATGTTTCTTCATATTTATATTGTGGTTGCAATTTATTTTTGTATCACATATAATTTGTTGCAAACAAATTGGCACGCCCAGTGGGACCAGTTCTACCCTTCATCTCTTCCTCCTGCAAATCGAAACCACAAGCTTCAAAATTTGCTATTGTGATGATCGGGTACTTCAAGACTCGTCTTCAAGTTTCGCCAAGGCTACACCCCGACAAACCTTGAAGTAGGGGGCATTTGTAGACATCGAAATCTTAATGGATCGAGTTAAATCCTAAATTCAAGATACTACAAGACCTCTTGAAATTCTAAGAGTCTGTCAGTGTTGCTTAGAGGCTACTCTACCAAAATCCTAGGTCACTCTTATAAAAAGGGTTACATAATCCTTTAAAAAATATCTCAAAAATGGAGATCGTCTCAAAAATCCCATAAACTCATGGGATACTCAAAAAGAGACCAAAAATATGGCCGGATACTTCTTGACAATGAAATAGTTCAAGAAGCCGGAGATCAAATACATCCAGGAGGTCTGCATCATCCTTACATTCGAGAAATTGGCTGCTTCAGCCCTCGAATCACGGAGATAATCAGGAGAGAAGAATCAAGGGGATAAACAGAATTGTACCCGCGTCTTTTTATGAATAAAATTATGTTTCTTCATATTTATATTGCGGTTGCAATTTATTTTTGTATCACATATAATTTGTTGCAAACACTTGTAACTGTAAGTTCAGGACCTATTGTCCTTAACTTTTGGGCTTCTTAGCCTAAGTTCAGGACCTATTGTCCTTAACTTTTGAGCTTGTTAGTCTAAGTTCAGGACTTCAGGACCTATTGTCCTTAACTTTTGAACTTGAAACTGTAAGTTCAGGACCTATTGTCCTTAACTTTTGAGCTTGTTAGTCTAAGTTCATGACCAAGTGTCCTTAACTTTTGAACTTGTAATTCTAAATTCAGAACCAAGTGTCCTTAACTTTTGAACTTGGAACTCGAAGTTCAGGACCAAGTGTCCTTAACTTTTGAACTTGTAACTGTAAGTTCAGGATCCATAATGTAGTAGAAAACCAAACATTATTTGTATCTTTTCACAAAAAAATAAAATAATAATAATTGCAATTTACATATAAGATTGATGTCAAATTACACAACAGAAAGCTAATAACAAAAAGAAACAACTAAAAAATAAAAGACTACAGAACCTAACCAACCAAAAGAAAAAGAAAAATAAATAAAACTCAGAAAGTTTGTTTTCTAAAGTTTTCTATTCTAGGATTGCAGAAAAGAACACTTCACGATCATCTTTATCCGGTTTAGGAACAACAAGCCACTTTTGTTGCTTATACCTCAAAATCTTGAATGCTTCTAAATAATCATTCAATTCTTCCTTCAAACAGAAAAAGCTATCAATACATAAAAGCCCACCAGACCTCAAAACTCTATCAAAATCATACAACACAAAATCCAGCAACACAAAATCAATCCAGCCATCAAGAAACCTCGTCGTACGAATCAAATCTAATGCGTTAACCAGTGTTATTAAAAGCGCTCGCTTCTCTCTTTAAGCGATGAAGCGAGGCGAGGCGCAGTGGTAGCGCTTTTCTGGTAAAAAGGCGACTCACATTAGAAAAGCGAGCGCTTTTCTCGCTTAAGCGAGAAGCGACAAGTTAAGAAAAAGCGAGAAAAAGCTCGCTTAAGCGAGCAGAAGGCATCAGCTAGGGCTTTTTTTAAAAATTTGGGCAAATAAACATACGAGCAGAAGGCATCTGTTACCAAAACATACGAAGGTCTTCTTCTCCAGCCCAGCAAACTCCAGCGACGACTTCATCTTCAGATCTCGGTAAGTTTCTTCTTCTTCTTCTTCTTCTTCTTCTTCTTCTTCTTCTTCTTCTTCTTCTTCTTCTTCAGTTCTTCTATTCTTCTTCTTCATGCTCTGTTTTCTGTCTTCTTCTGTTATTCTTCTTCTCTTCTGTTCTTCTTTCAAATTTTTTCACTTTTTAAGCACTTATTTTTTGCCCTAAACGACTTCTTTTTCTTCTGTTATTAAAAGTTGCTTCTGTTATCATGATACGACTTGTTTTTCTTCTGTTATGCTCTGTTTTCTTCTGTTATGCTCTGTTTTCTGTTATTAAAAGTGCTCTTTATGCTCTGTTTTCTGTTTTCTTCTGTGAATTAATTGTTATTTTTTTTTTTGGTTGTTGATTGTAGTAAATTTAAGAATTGAATCTATTATTTGCTTGATATGTTATTTTTAATGAGTTCATAGCCATTTATCTATGCCTATTTTATTTTTTTTATTTATGTATTAAATTGCGCTTCACAGCAAAAAAGCGCGAGCTTCGCTTCAGTGAAGCGAGGCCTCGTCGCTTTTTTGCGCTTAACACTTTCCAAAACACTGGTGTTAACGAAAAATGGTAGCCTCTGATTTATAGTTAAGTAAAGAGGAATTAACCCTCGAAGAGCAATCATCTCGTTAAATGGTGCACCAAGAAACACTAAAGAAGAAAATCCTTCCGACACAGTTCTTCTCCCTAACATGAAAGATAGAAGAAAGGGTAACACAGTCTTTTCATATTAATTTTAATAGACTAGTGGCTACTATTGCTAAGCATTAAAAATGCTGGATAAAAAGTAAATACCACTTTAAAAACTGGCTACCCCACACAATTTTTACCCAAATAACAGCTGCATCAATTTTCCCCATTACACACATTTGTTTTTTCATGATCATGATCACATCCATTAGTAACAGCAGTTACGTGATATCTCATTTTATCGACTAAAATGAACATGAACCTTGATTGAAAGTAGCTAGGGAGGTGAAGAATTTAGGAGAAAAATAACACAGCTGGGCTCCTGGTCCTGAATTTCAACTTCTATCACTTGTACAAACCAATGAATGAAATTTCATGACCTGTGGATCGCCACGTTGCTGCCACCTGATCGTAATTGTGCGTCATAATAGATTCTTACAGCTTGGTAGATCAGAGACGGTTCAGCCATTGCTCCATTCCCGTAATCTCCACAGGCTAGTCTCTTTGATACTGGTGGTATGAGAGAGATCCCAAGCTCATCAATTACCATAAGGTGCTTTTCTGTGAATGGATTATTCCACATCAATGTATTCATTGCTGGTGCCACGAAAAGGGGTTTATCGTAGTCCCATGCTCGTACGATGCAGGTTAACAAGTTATCACATAGTCCACCAGCAATCTACAGTACAGAAGGCATATATCAGTTTATCTGCAAAGTAGAAAACAATGTAATCTATCGACACCAAACAACTAAAAAAACCATGCACCAAACAAAGCAAGAACTATAATATGGGAAATTGTATCCATCTCTCTTAACACCTTCCATCATGGAAGTATTCACATTGGCAATATCTGACCCTTCTGCAAGTCCATATCACGGAGAATTTCGCAACTCATGCTACGAAACTCTTCTCAGCCAAACTGAATTTCTTTGCATCTTCAATAAATTCTTTTCACTGCCTATATCAAGCTTTAAAGCATTACCTGAACTAAGAAGTCATACTGTTGTCAACTAAAATAAAGGAATAAATTGCGTCTTTGCGGCAGAATGTGCGTTATCATGAAATAAGATTTGAGCATCTAAAAGATGTAGAAAGATACATCACCTTCCCAAGTGTGTTTGCTGACAAAGGGGCAATAATCATAATATCAGCCCACCTCCGGAGCTCGATGTGTAGCACACTGTCACCTATCTTCGTCCAAGTTGACCATTCATCCTCATCAGTATAAAGAATGACATCTTCTGGAAGTGAAGCTTTGTCTATGAAATGAAGAGAAGCTTTTGTAGCAACCGCTTTAACTTCAGCCCACTCAGTAAAGGAACGGCATAGACTGGCAAACTTGATAGCAGCCACACTTCCACTTGCTGCAAGCAGAATACGAGGTCTCCTCGGTGCATTGTTAATCTGAACCGGTTCCCTCTCTGAAGTCATAGGCTCCATATCTACCCTAATCTGTGAAACATCAAAAAGGATTCTTTACTGCACCAAGAGAAAGATGCAAGTAATTGTACATGCGTGCAACTAAGGGGAATGGCAGAAGTAGAAAAGAAAGAGATATCCCCTGGTAACTTCTTCACAATCGTAACTCTTTGGACATAGGTGTGGTTAAATCCATGCTTATCTGTATTATTCAAACACATTTTAACCCTAACTCATCTTCATGAAGAACCAAACAGTTGCCCACCAGCTGATCAGCTGATGTAGAGTCAAGGATTTGAACTTTGACTTGCTTAAAGGTCATTTTGCTCACCTGAACTATACATCAGCTCAATTAAACTAACCTCAGCTCGACTAATCTTTTTCGCCTAGGGTCAGATCGGCTCGCTTTTATTGGATGTTCCAACTGATGTCCATCCATTCTCATTCTTGTAGAGAACTAGTTGCTGACAGAGTCATTGACTGTAATAACCTTCATATTTTAATAAGGACCACAAAAACCTTCTTGTTGAAAATGCAAAATCAAAGACATTATGTTCAAAGGTACTATATTAATGACCTTAGCATTATTTTCAAGTAGACTTGATCTAAGGTTGTAGCTCTCCTTCCACCATGATAATTCTAGATTTCTCATCTTTGAAGGTGCGGTTTAAACTTGTCTTGGGGCTTCATGGATTGGATCCAGGTGTCACCCTCAATTTCTTTCTCAACTGTTGTGGGCTTGGCCAATACTTTGTGATGGCCTGTAGGTCAACTGCCTGAGTCTGGCAACAATCTTTGACTTTCGAGGCCCAATCCCTTCTAGTCTAACTCCGCAACAATCAAATTTTGGCACTAACAAGAGGTTATCACATCAAAGTGTTTCCCTTTGTTTGTTTGTTTTTTGATAACCGTGGTGTCTGCGCCAGCTTGCGCACACCTCGACTAATTCCATGGATACCTGCCACCTCCCCACCAACAACAGGTACTAGGTAACTCTATCTACCATGGCTTGGATAGATGGGAAAAAATCACCTAACTTTTTTTGCCTCCGGTGGGATTTGAACCTGAGACAAGTGTTTCTCTTTTATGTGTGAAATTTTAAAACTTTGTTTAATAAAAAGGACAAGTTTTCAAGTTTTCCCACCACAACAACATAAGATCTTAACAGACAAAAGGACATGACCCATGCATGATATATAGAGAGTCAAATCAAATGGTTATTCAGATAGAAAAATGTCAATATGAAACTGACAAACAGCCAAATCTGTATACTAAGCAGTCATTCTTTTTCACCATCTAGGGTAGATTGAGAAGGTACACAAGAAAACCACCCTGCATATGTACTAAAAATATATGAATTTTTCAGTGAATCTGCTTAGTTCAATCAACAATATCTCAATTCCAACCTATTTGGGGTCGGCTACGTGAAACAACTATCCATTCTTAGCTGCTTCTTTATATTTAGTTGTTGTTTCGAAATATTTCAGTAATTTCATCAGTTTCTCACCATCTCCCTCCCT